CTAGCGGTCCCAAAGGCCGCGAGCCAGCGCCCCAGCCGCTCGTTAAGCCACGACGTACGTCGTCCACACCACACCAACGACGCGCGAGATGGTTGACGCTTGCTTAGGACGCTGTCGATCCTGATGCGGTGGAAGTGAGGTACCTCGATTGCATGCGACTCGAGTTTGCTGACGCGATCTGTGGTGGCAGAGTGCTAACGAGCCAAACCAGACTCGCACGACCTCGCTTGAAGTAGGCACACATGCCCCCATGCATGTTGACCACTGGCCCGCGTTAGCATGGGGTGGAAGCCGACCAAGGTGACGGCAGTCGACGATGCCATCGCCAGGCACAACGCGGCCACATGTATTCAGCAGTGGTACCGCTGCCGCCGCAGCGTTCCGTTTCACAGGCTCACGGTATCGCATTGCCACGCCGTTGCCGCCGCCTCAACATGGACTTGCCTGCTTCGATGTAGCTCACTTTGCTCGGCCTCATCAAACAGCTCGATCGCGACCTGGTGTTGTTTTGGAAGCTCCTGCACGAAGGGTTGACTGTGTTCAAGTACAATTACACGGGCAAGGTGAAGTCGAGGCGCATCCTGTGCTTCAGCCCAGGTACATGGTGTCGAGTCGGCACAGAGTCACAAGCGCTGCACAGACTGCGAGCGGTTAGTCGTGGGCAAGCCGATGACGAGCAGCGTGCGCTACCTCTTCCGCGCGTCCACGCGGCTCCTCCCGACAGAAAAGGGCTTGTACTTGGCCGACATTGCCGAGGTGCGACCGGGGCTAGCCACGTACTCCTTCAGTCAATCGCCATTGCTTCCGATCGCCGACAAGGTGGGCCCATTTGCGTGGCTGGCACCAATTGTCCGACTCACTGCGTCTTGTCAGTGCTTTTCCATCATCGGGTCGGAGCGCACGCTGAGTTTAGAAATGCCATCCCGCAATGCTCGAGATCAAGCCGTGAGTCGATTTCGCGTTCTCGTGGATGTGCTCCAAGGGCCGGAATGTATCGTACGGCACATCTTGTTTGGAGGTCCCCCATGTCAACATGCCGTCTGCCATCGTAGCTGGCATCGCGCGAATGGATGACGCCGACCGTCGCAGGGAAGCCCCTGCCGCCGTCCAAAATTGAAAACGTCTACGCGAGCTTGCTCGCCGGGTACGGCGCCACTTGTCTGCATATCCAAGCAGCAAGGCGTGCCCTTCTTCATCCCCCGTCGTTGCATCGATAGAGTGCACGTCCTCCGGCACTCCAACAAGGTCCGTGCGGTGGACCACATCCTTTGGGTGGACCTGACGACGCAAACGCTCCATTGCGGGACCACCAAACGTACGTAGCCAATTGTCCGTCGAGTCGCGACTTCATGGCCATCATCCAAATGCGTTGTCACTTTCTTGTCATCCCATCATGGTAGAACCGCCGTTGGCCAGAGGCGTAGCCCTCACCGACATCACGGAGATTCGTAAAGGCGTCAATAGCCACGGGTTTTCTATCGCCGCCGAGCCGCCCATCGCCGAGGTACGTCTTTGTTTGCGTAGTGTGCGTGACGTGCTCGAGCTCCCGCACAGCAGCTCGAGGCCTCTATGGCTCACGCAGCCGCGACATCGCTCACGGCTACTGTGCCGTAGTGCTTTTCAGTCATCGGAAGCGAACGGACGCTAGACTGCCAAGTCCATAGTGTATCCGTGCGAGATACCATTTGCTTGGCGCTGCAATATATGCTCATCGACTGCGCCACCGCGACTCCCCACGTCCAGCTCCAACGACAAGTACGTCTCCGCCGCCAACTCGGATCATGCGCTTGTGTTGACGTGTTGGAAAAGGCACAGTATGCCCGGCAGCCGCCGACTGCGCTCGGCTACAGCCTTGCGCTGCAGCTGTGATGCTGCTCTATTTTTGCACGAGGCCTTCAAACAAATCAAACGGCGGCGATTGTGTGGCTGTCGATGGTTGTCGTGTCGAGGTTGGTCCCCACGGAGACGACTTTGGTTTGTGGTCGTGTACGTTCAGCTTGAGGTTTGTGCGGCGCAGCACTTGGCCGTTGGCACACAGGTCCTACGGCAGTCGGTCGTGGATGAGAACACATGGCTTGCATCGAGCCGGACGATGCATGCACATCAAACGCCCCTGGCGCCCGGCGGATCTGCACACGATAGAGTTGGAGAGATAGAAGCCCAACGTACTGTCAGGTCCGTCAGGTGCTCGGGTGCACGCATTAACGTTGCGAGCAACTTGTTCTTCCCAAGATCGGCGAGGCGGGCAACCGTCGACGTCGGGCAGACTGCTTGGGGCAGCGTTTTGGTCGAAGCAACCCAGTCGCAGAAAAGCTCGTCAAACATGAGAAAGCAAAACGCAAAGAGCCGAAACAAGCTCGCGTCGTCTTCGAGGATTTGCCAGTACAGAGTGTCGCGGACGGGGTACTGGCCCTGTACTCACGGTCATGGAGATGAGCACGTTCAAAGGAAGATGGCAACGACTATGTCGGCAGGAAAGGATCGAAAATTGCACGTACACGAGAACCATCGGCTTCAACGATGTGGAAGATCTCGATGACGACGCGCGTGACGGCGACGGCCGCCTTGACGAACGGATACCCGCCCACTCGACGATTCATCATTCGAGCTTCGCCGGGGTAGTTTTCCACAAAGAACACTAGAACATGCATGATATAGCGACGTGTAATGTCAAAGAAGGAGGGGACGTCATGTACCGAGACATTCGAGACCCAGCTCGCCGGTCGCCCGAACGTCGTCGGCCGGGTTGTCGGTCGTGAACCCAATCGTGCGCCACCCAGGTCCTTTTCGCTGAAATGACACCGCCTGGTTGTTGTTGGCATGGTTGCCATGCATACTGTCCCAGTATCGCTCCAAGAGGCTCACGTGCTAGAACAAAGTGATGTCAGGTTTGCAATGCATACGGTGGAATAGTTCACGTTCGGGTTCTCGAACGTACGTAGGGACACTCGACGAGGCGCACGAGGAACTTGGTCTGCATCTTGAAAAGAAGGATGAGTTCATAGTCGTTCGGTCGGCGTCCGAGCTCTGCCGATTCCCGCGCAGGATTGTACGTCGACGTCTGGTTGCCCATGCTGGTGCCGCGCGATCCTGGACGTCGCGACCTTTTACGAAGATGCGTTCGTTCGAATGTTCAGTTCGTATTTTCATTGGCTGTAATTCAAAGATATACAGCCAATCAAGTATTTCTAGACCGCGAAATCTTGTCATCAAAATTGACATCGAGGTACTTAATCGATTGCCCAATCCTGACACAACCGTCCATGCGAGTCCACGGGAGATATGAAGTGCACCTCGCAGAGATCTTGGAGCATAGGAAGCGCGGGCGTATGCTGCATGGGAAGGCCAACGCGTTTTTGCAGCAAAAGGTTGGCATTTCGAGACAAACGTTTGCAAAGATTTGGCGGGGAGGGGCACTCGTCATGTGTCGTTGAATTTGTGTCGATTTTCCAAATGGTGTTTAAATTTCGTATAAAGACAAGCGATGGATTTTGCCATTACAAAATGTCCACGTGACATTTTCACATACCACGCCGATGCGACGATACATAGATCCGATCCTTCATACCAGGACAAATCACCCATCGTCGTATATGTTGTTAGCACATTCAAGAACACTTGTGGTATTGTCAGTATGGACTGGGCTCTTGGAGAATCATACCCTTCCAAAGATGTTATTCTCGGGGGAATTTTTATCTGACATTTTTCTCGATTTTCTGAAGATTTCAATGTGCGCATACATTATTTTTTCACGCGCTGAACGAGAACGACACTGATCGATTCGACGCCCCCGCTTCGACTTGGCTGAACAGAGCGAGCACGGCTGCAAACTCACGGTTCGGCTCGAACACCACCTGAGCTAGCTATGCTCGTGGAGCTACCACGTCCAGTGGCGACAAAGAGTCGCTATAGATCGACCACTCGCGACGCCATCGCCATGAATCGCCTTGACTGGCCGTACACACTAGATCGTGGCGATTGAACAATATGCAGCAACACGAAGGCTGAGACCTCTTGCCGTCGCAGCACCTCCGTTGGCAGGCTCCTGTTGCGAGAAGGTGTGCCGCGGGCTTACAATGTCGTCGCCGTGTCTGCTTTCAGCGAGGTGGCCACGTGGACAAGTATCGCCGACTCCATCCTGACACGCAACGATGATGTCATCGGAATTTTCCAACTCCAATTGGGGAATGCTACACGAGCTTTGAATGACTAAGAGGCGTGTGGGATTTGTTCGATGTCAATATTTCTCTCTATGACGATCGCGGACGCAATCGCCAGGCTCGAAAACTCGTCAAAGTCGATCGCTCGACGTCGCGTTGACGTTACAACCCGACGACATAGGCTCCACAATGCACGCACCGCACCCATTTCCAAACGTTCCACTTCGGTTAGGGCCCTGGGCCGATTAGACTGTACGAACTGACAGACTTCGTCGAACATTGCAGCATTGGTACCCCGCACATTGGTCGCCATGTGAGTTTCAATTGTGAACCAAAGGTCGCAGTAAAATTGAGAGGTTTTCAACCTACATGACCTCTGCACAACAAATATTTATTGTATATATTAAATTAAATAGGGAATAACTTTACGCAGTAATTTTTCCCGAGATTCATGAGGATTTTCAACATTACTCAATAGGTTCTATCTAGTCTACCATGTCGTTTTCGCAGTTAATGTATTTAAAAAGGACAAATCGATTGCAAAAATCCGCGTTTCAAAAGGACAAGTGTGTCGACCAATAGAGTCCCCAGACCCCTCGATCGCCCACTGTAAACCCACGTTGACTGCTGGTTTGGCCACTTTGAACGGGCAGTTGTGTAGTACTTACTACTAGTACACCTTAACCCCAAAATATATTTTCGCAATTTTCACCAAAAGTTGCAACATTTCAGAATTGGAAACGATGCACGGACCGGTACATGTCGTCGACGAATCCAGCCGTGAAGTGCACTCAATGAGGAACGAAGATGAAGCGTATAGCCTCCTCATGTACGACTCAGCAAACGTGTCGTCTGGTGTTCAAGTCCTTTACACCCTCAACCTTCCCCTCGCAGTGGTGAACAACATCATCAACTTCGTTGGCATTTGGAATCGATGTGTTGGGGAAATGGCTGAAAGCGTCAGCGGTCGTGCAGATCTAGATGCGGAAATCTTTCGATTTTCGGTTCCTGTCGATCCCGCCGAAGATAGCGTCGTAAAGTTTGGTCCACCGGCTGAACTTGTGTTTGAATGTGTGTCTCATGACCAAGGGTGGGCTACCGAGACTCCTGAATTGAACCATACGTATCAGGGATGCCACAGCTGGATCGAGTACGACGTTCAAGACGTACATGGTGTCACAGTTGTGCCCCGACGCGATGTTTGTCGAAACCTTCGAGCGTCAAGCACATTTCGCCGTCACATGCTCATTGTACGCGATCATGAAGTGCTCAGCAATGTCCTTCCCGGATATAGCATCGTCGTGTACATGAGAGCTCAGTACGGTGGCTGGGCGAACTATGTTGATTTCTGCCGCGTCGCTCTTCACCGAGTTGTGATTGTTCGTGAGGAAGTGAATCGACAAGAACTTCAAATGTGGTTCCATGCCGCCGAGTCCAAGCCCGCGCTGCCGAATCAAGATGTTCCATGCCCTCTGGTTGTACCAGTCCAACAGGACATGATCGCGCATTTCCTTACGACCCCTTTCCTGACCTATCGAGATTTTTGTACAATCATCTAGCTTGCTAGCTGACCCGACAACATGAGCTTACTATTTTGAATCAAGTCGTCGCAACCACGTGTAAACGCAGTCGGGTGACGTCGAAATTAGCAACCTAAACACTGTAAAGATCACGGCTACGCCTTTGAAAGAAACAGAGTCCCGATAAGAGCACTGGAAGCCATCTTCCGTGGCGTCCATGCTCCGCGTCGGTCGGTTTGAAAAACTATATATAACTCGTGCAGACATCGATCATTCAACGGCAGCTGCCATCGTGAAGTCTCAACAGTTACATACAACCCGCTCCACGAATTCCCCCCACAGGGTCCTTCGACCACCGCTACCAATTGCCCCAATTCACTGAAGTAGTCCTCTTGACTAGTACTTCATGAAGCGCCGGGGGACGGAGCGGTCCGAACTGTGGATTGTGGACGCAGTGACCAAGGTTGCTAATGAGTTCTCTGCTGCGACTGTCGATTCCGTCTGCAGCGCCATGTATTCGCCTGCGGATATTGCCATTTTTGCATGGTGGCTTCACCGGCGAGGTGTGGCGACGTCGTGCATTCAACGCATTCTCGATGGGGCTGGAATCTGCGCAGCATACGTTCAAGAAACCCACGACATTTTGGATGGATACGCACCGATGGATGAAGTTTACTTGCGACTTCGCGTGCCCAAGGCTGTCCAGTCGTCGGCACTCACAACGCATCCATGTCCTGCTTCCCTCACGTTCGAGTGTGTCTCAAGAGACCAAGGCGGAGTCGCGGACGCGCGTCAGTCGCCACTGCGTTGCCACAGATGGCTTGAGTTTGAAATCCTTGATACCGACCAACATGTGGTACTGCCACGTCAAGACGTCTGTCGAATGTTCCGTTCGTGCAGGGACTACCGCTGCCACGTGCTCACGATAGAGGACAATCAAGTCTTGACGAATCTTCATCCAGGCCACGAAGTGGTTCTTCATGTGCGCGCTGACAGTAAAGGCTCGAGCAACTACGTCAAGTTTGCGAGCATATCGTTGCGCTTCGCCGCGACGTTGACGTTGTTTGCTGGAGAGGAGAACGGGGAGGCCCATTTCCCTAAGCATGTTCCTTTGGCACCACTACGTGAAACTCTTTCAACATCACTTGAAGCACCTACAGCAAGCAAGGCGCTCACGCTTCTTGATTTGGACAATGAAGCAGCGATCTCAGGCAGCATTGACATCACTTCTGTCCAAGTGGGTTTGAAAGACAACTGGGAATCGGTGGAGGTCCCACTGAAGCCACCACCGGCCGCTGCCATGACCGAGGAATGGGTAGACTTGGCGCCATCGAGACCAGCGCAGCCAAAAGACCGCTGTGTCGCTGCTGCTGCTGCTGATTCACCCACACCATGCGAAGACGCACGTCTGGCGCCGAATCAAACCAAGCACCCCGACGAAAAATGCACCGTCAGCTAGAACGTAAACATTCCGGAGAGAGGACAATTCAAACGTGTGATTTTTGAAATCGTTTGTGATTGGGTCAAGTGAAGAATGTTGGTGTTCTCGTTTCAACTGCTCCCAAAGGACAAACGGATGCTGCTCCATCACCCCCACCACATCCTGCGACCGCCACGGTCGCCACCGACGTTTGACGACCCTCTTAGCCTCCCAGTGTGGCTCGTCGACAACATCATCCACGAAGCAACGGAGTTGCCAAGCCCTGCTGCCACCAATCCAATGACGTACGTTGACACAGATGTCGCCGACGTGCTGTCAATCCTCGGCCGAGCCAGTGGTGCCCCCGCCGCGATCGTGAGTTACATTGCATACCTGGGAGATGTATGCTCGGCGTATTTTGTCGACACCCATGATGCCGTCGTCGGCAACGCACCGCTTGACCGAGAATACCTTCGCTTGATAATCCCTGCTATGACGGTCACGAATCTGGAAGTGTTTTCGTCGATGCTTGTCCTGGAATGTGTATCCCACGACCAAGGGTGGGCATCTGACCAAACAGACAACCAAACGTATAGGAACTGTTGGAGTTGGGTTGAATTTGAGGTCGTCGATGCAACGAATGCGGCCGTATTGGTCCCGCGCCAAGTAATGTGTCGCAACTTGCGTGCCTCCAAAACATATCGCCGGCATCGGATGCAAATTACGGACAAATCGATACTGCGCCACCTGCAGCCCGGATGTCAAGTCGTTCTGTACCTTCGAGCCCGGTACAACGCTTGGTCGAATCACGCGCGATACGCCAGCATTTCTCTCATCCAGTGGTGGGGCGCGCGCCAAGATTGACGAAGAACCGTTATTCATGCAAGCCAACACTCGATGCCAACGCCGTGATATGAATACAGTCGCAATTGAATGGGTTTTGTCAAAGTAGGGGTCAATTTGCAACGCCGCAACTTGCGTTCAATGAACAACTCTGCCGCATCACAACATTCAAAGATACATAGGAAGGGCAGAGCTTCGTTGCGGTTCTCGTGCCACGTCGCCATCTCGTTGTGATGCCAATATTGCACGACGCCGTCAATCGAAAGCGCACACGATGGTAATAGGTGTAGATGGAGTGGGTGGGTGGGCAGCAAGCCGAGTATAATCCAGCGCTGGACGGTGGCTCGTAGGTGGCGCTGGTTCCGATAGGCGGTCATTCAAGCAATGGAGCATGACGAAGTCAGCATCTCCGGCTAGGGACATCAGCTCCCATTTGCTCCACAAAAGAGTCGATTGCCAAACCACGAAACTCTCCAAATATGATGGCTACCACGTCAACAACCAACCGATATCATGATCTACATCTTGTATTTTGTTTAACCTGTTGAGACAACTAACATGAGGTGACGAGGCGCGATGCGTTGGCAATGCTGAAGTCAGCGTCGTCATCAAGCAAGTTGCGAGATGACCGTCGAC